GATAGATAGATAGATAGATAGATAGATAGATAGATAGATAGATAGATAGATAGATAGATAGATAGATAGATAGATAGATAGATAGATAGATAGATAGATAGATAGATAGATTAGATAGATAGATAGATAGATAGATAGATAGCTAGATAGATAGATAGATAGATAGATAGATAGATAGATAGATAGATAGATAGATAGATAGATAGATAGATAGTAGAGATAGATAGATAGATAGATAGATAGATAGATAGATAGATAGATAGATAGATAGATAGATAGATAGATAGATAGATAGATAGATAGATAGATAGATAGATGATAGATAGATAGATAGATAGATAGATAGATAGATAGATAGATAGATAGATAGCTAGATAGATAGATAGATAGATAGATAGATAGATAGATAGATAGATAGATAGATAGATAGATAGATAGATAGATAGATAGATAGATAGATAGATAGATAGATAGATAGATAGATAGATAGATAGATAGATAGATAGATAGATAGATAGATAGATAGATAGATAGATAGATAGATAGATAGATAGATAGATAGATAGATAGATAGATAGATAGATAGATAGATAGATAGATAGATAGATAGATAGATAGATAGATAGATAGATAGATAGATAGATAGATAGATAGATAGATAGATAGATAGATAGATAGATAGATAGATAGATAGATAGATAGATAGTAATAGATAGATAGATAGATAGATAGATAGATAGATAGATAGATAGATAGATAGATAGATAGATAGATAGATAGATAGATATAGATAGATAGATGATATAGATAGATAGATAGATAGATAGATAGATATAGATAGATAGATAGATAGATAGATAGATAGATGATGATAGATAGTAGATATATAGATAGATAGATAGATAGATAGATAGATAGATTAGATAGATAGATAGATAGATAGATAGATAGATAGATAGATAGATAGATAGATAGATAGATAGATAGATAGATAGATAGATAGATAGAGATAGATATGATAGATAGATAGATAGATAGATAGATAGATAGATAGATAGATAGATATAGATAGATAGATAGATATATAGATAGATAGATAGATAGAGATAGATAGATAGATAGATAGATAGATAGATAGATAGATAGATAGATAGATAGATAGATAGAATAAACGGGCAGACTTGCAGGCATTTATTTCTTTAATCTATTGTGAATCGGGCCTAATTGCCGGTGTGTGGTATCATATAGTCGGGCATGCTTGTCTATAATTCATACTTGTTGCGTATAGCTCTAATGCAACTACAGCCACATGTTGTTACATGTAAGTTGAATGTTTTTATCGCTGTTGTCGTCGTTGCTTATTAGATTGCTGTTGTTGGAATTGTCGTAGTCTGAAATCTGGTAGATCTTTCTCTTTAACTTCTAATAATTACATTTACTTTTTTTGCCTAGTGTCATTATATTTTATGGTTTTGTCTTGATTTTTCTTGTTGTTGTTCTATGTAGTCCAAAGTCTCATCATGCGTGTGTTCCTGTTTATGTATTCGTAGTTTTGAACTACACTTTCTTTATAGATTTTCCGCCAATATTTTTTTTATTCCCGTTGTTTGTCTGTGCACAAGTATTTGTATATCTCTTTAGATGATTACTTTAGACTACATGGCGTCATTACATATGGCTTTTTGTATGAAAACTAAAATTTATTTACTTTTTCCAGCATTTTCTTCTTGTGTTGTCGTTTTTTAGTATGCGTTTTTTCTTCATATACGACAGTATGGGTATTTAAGCAATTATTTATCGCTTTGTTGATTAGAATTTTTTATGCTTTTATGTTTTAGTTTTTTTATCTGTTGTCTTAATTGTTGGCTTGTTGTTTTTCTTTTTTATTAATTTTAAGTTTACATTTCTTAGAGTTGTGGTAAATAATAGAAATCTCCCACCAAAAAAAGTGTTTTTTTAATTATACTTAATGAAGGTTTTATTTTAATGGTTTCTTTTAGTAATTCTTAAAATTTCTCCTCTAAAATTAGAGCAATTATTTAAGAAAAAATATTTAGACAATAAGTTAAAAAAAAAACATTCATTTAATAAAAGTTTATTGTTTAAGTCTTTTGTTTTAGTTAGCATTTTGCAACATTTGTGACCGTTAGTTTTGGGTAAGTGTTAATTTTCACACAACAAGCAATTTAGGAAAAGAATGTACTAATGTGCTTAATATGTATATTTTAAATACAAAATAGGGATTTAAAAAATTAAGATTAATGTTTAAATTATGGAGTCTGGTTCAAGAAAATTTATAATTTAATTGATTATTCTTGAAAAAGTAAAAATATAAATACTAACATTAAGAATATTTACATACATATATGTATGTATGTGTGTTAAACATTTATAAAAGACAATTTAAAATAATATTTAAATAGTTAAGTTAAGGTTAAGTTCCTCCTTACTACATCTAATCCGAAGAATAGACTTAGCCAGATATGGGGGTAGATAACCCTTTATAACGATCTATAAAAAAGTTATTATCTAATGTTCAAAAACTCAGTTTTTCGGGCGTAGTTCCTTAGAATTTTCCAATTAGTGTTCCTGATGGATGTAATATCTTGAATATCATGCTCTATATACATACGTATATACATCTGAATTCGTTCGTCCACTATACTAACTTCGGACTTATTTATTCTGAGGAGGCTTCTCCATCTTCTCAAGTTGGAGTTACACTATAAGATGTTTTTAATTCATCCCTCGTTTTGCAATCGTCAGGGTAACTTATTGAAGTTCGCTTCCATTTACATCATGATCTACCCATTATCCGCTAGTAGCCTATTACCAATATGCTGCAGTGCTTACCACAAGAAGAGCTAATGACTCTCTTACAATCCAACACGGTATCAGATTTAACCGTATCAGCTGATCGTCATAATTCTTCTTCTGTCTATTGTTAATTTAAAACCATGCTGTGATAGCATAGACTTCTTCCTGAAAACGGAAGAACGCCAGACAATAATATGTGGTTGTTGTTGTAACGGCGACAACTGAAATTACACGTCTTCTTCGCTCTGGTTATCCAAGTCAGTTAAATCTAAACCCAGTAGACGAGCCGCACGTGGGCTTGTGCCACACGCTCTACAGAGATCTTCAATAGTGTCGTTTATTCTCGACCAGTACGAGTTTAAACTTGTACATCATCATATTCGTCTCATCATGCAAGTGTTCTTCTGACGTCATTTGAATACAGCCTGTTACTGTTCTAAGGGCTAACTCTTGGAGCCCACACTGGCGCTGTGTAGTTTACCACTGACCGGCCAGTTGTTTAGAAGGTAGTTAACAAGGTTCCCTTTCAGTACCTCGTTTCTACTTCGCTTTTTGTTGCAGACTGCAGTGATGTGCGCGAAGGACATAAGGAGGCAATCGAATGTGACACCAAATATTTTGGGGTGATTCCCATCCAGTTCTAGCCCTACTTCCTATGTCCAAGTGGCGAAAACTTTACAATAATATGCATTATATTTCGGTTTCCAGGCTTTCAATGTAATAACATATTTCCACAGGGTTTTGCTTTGATGTTCTGCTTGACCACGATCTCGTATCTGGAAACACAGAACTGCGGTTCCTAACCATTACTATGCGATCGGGAAGGTAAGGCGCTTGTGTATGAGCGCTCATTTTGTACAGTTTACATGGCTGACATGTTCTGTTTTGGTCAATTCACTTTGACAGTGTGTCATAGTTGGACTAAGACCCCATTTCGAGCCTATCTATGTGATATTTACATTTTAGTATTACGCCTACTTTTTAAAAACGATATCATCCTGACCAAGAACAGGGTTTAAGTAGGAATTTTCATTCTTAAGAAAAGACAGATTTCTATTTTACTAGGGTTGATATTCAACCCTATTGTTTGAGCCCCGCCAAAAGCCGTATTTAGGGCCACCTTAGAAGTATTACTACATTGTCTGCGTAGTAGACTGATCTAAATAAATCATCGATTAAGTTCCTTAGAGGCCTAATAATTGTGGTTATCTGAAATAAAAGCTATTAAATCTTGGCCTGAGGTGAATACCCTATTGAGATTAATACAAATCGTCACCTGAAACGCAAACGGCCCTAACTAACCAAAAATTCAAAATCGATTTTATTGTTGATTCTAATGTATTGCATCAAAACAAATGTTCACATCAAAAATTGAACTCCTCCGACCATAATTATCGATTTTATTGACAAAAAACAAAAGGCCCTATCTACAAAAACATTTAAATATTAAAGGTAAAAATTCCAATTTATAAATTTTTATATACGCCATTGTCAACTATCATAACAAATGATAGGTTTCACTATTAAACAATTTGTTTATATCGTACAAATAAATCGCTTTGAAAGAAACATTTAAGTAGTTTTTTGCTTCTCCTGTAAATTTTTTAAAACGTTAGATAGGGCCGTTTGCGTTTTAGGTGACGAAATACAATTTTTATTATTCAGATTTGTTTGTGCATGTATACATTATTGGAGTTGTCACACAATTTGTTTGAAAATGGTTAAAATCAACACAACAACAAGGAACAACCCGAGTCTTGCAAGGTCAAAGATTGTCAAACGCTGTATCAACCGAAAAAAAAACTTTTCCCAGGAAAAAATCATCGGTCACAGTCGAAATGTTACCACAACAACAAAACGCCTGAACATTTTTAATAAAATCTCTTCATATATAGCCGTTATATGAGAATATTCAATTTTGAAACTAACGGATACTGAACAAAACATTTGAACAGCGGTTAATTTCAACAGTGGTTGATTTTTATTATTATTAACATTCTATAATATTTGTGCTCTTTTGTTATTATATTATTAATAAGAAAAATAGCATTACTATCTATATATTATTTTTATTTTTCAAACAAACAATTAAATATTTATGTGTATAAAAAAACATTTTTATTTTTCCTTTAAATATCTACTACGTACAAATACACCACTGTGTGTTTTCATATATGACAGCTGGATAAACAAACAGCTGATGACACATTGTTGTTATTGTCGTGGCAAAAATAAAAGAAAATTTTTAACTTGCCAATAATAAACGATAAAATATAAATATTTTTTTATAAAAATGGATTTAGAAAGCGAAAGAATATTAAAATTAATATTTCCCGATGGTGTACCTGGTATTTGTAACAAAATTTCTTATTAAAACCTCAAAATTTAACTAAATTTCCTTGCAGAAAATTTACGTGACAATCCGGAATTGTTCAATTATCTCAACAAATTGGGCACATACAAAGTGGATCAATTGAAAAAGGAGCAGACACGCCTAACTGAAGAAACTAAACACATTGTAGAGCAAACACAAGATTTGGCCATTTCTAATTATAAAACTTTTATTAAAACCGCTGAAAACTCACGTTCCATATATAGTGAATTTAAAAATGCCGAGTCGCAAGTGGAAACTTTAATTGATAAATTGCCCCAACTAATTGATCAGTGTGAAAATTTCCAAAAAGAATCGTTAGATATCAACGAACAGCGCCGTTTGAATACTATAACATTAAAAAAGAATGCACAATTATTGGAAATTTTAGAATTGCCACAATTAATGGAACGCTGCATTAGAGAGGGTAGATATGAGGAAGCGTTAGAATTGGCTAGTTATGTACAGAAGATGGGTGAGAACCAAGGACATATTCCAATTATTAAGGTGAGATTTTTTTGTCTCATATTTATTAAGAGATACCTAATAATGCCTTGTTTTTGTAGAGTATTGTTAATTCAGTGGAGTCGTTATGGCATACAATGCTGGTGCAACTGGTGGCTCAATTACGTACAGATTTACAGTTGCCCAAATGTTTACAAATTGTTGGTTACTTACGCAGAATGCAGGCTTTCGGTACAAATGAACTCAAATTGAAATTTTTACAAGCCAGAGATGCTTGGCTTACTAATTCTTTGAAGGCTATACCTATGGATGATGGTACGTAATCAGAAATTTGGTTAAAAATAGGTAATAGGCTTTCTTCAAAAGCCTGAAGCTGTTAGAATTTAAAAATAATTTTAAATAAACATTAATTCTATCGACCATTAAATAAATTTAAGTAAATAACTTTATCTTATTTATAAATAATTTGCATTAAATTTGAATATTTTCAGCTCAACAACATTTAACCAAAACTATAGAAGTTACACGCGTAAACCTCTTTAATATTATCAATCAATACAAGGCCATATTTCCAGAAGAAGATGCTCTAGCCGCAGAAACTTTAACAAGTTCGACAACAAGTCAAAAGCCCTTACAAGGTGTAAGTTGTGATGGATCACGCTTATTTCAGTCATGGTTACACGAAAAAGTAAATATTTTTATCAACTACATATTCGGCTTTATAAAACAGCCTATTTATATCATTAATTTCAGATTACCGATTTTCTTAAAACCCTAGAGTTTGATTTACAACGTGGCATCGTACTATTCGATACAGTTCTGGGACAATGTATGTATTTTGGTTTGTCATTTAGTCGTGTTGGTGCCGATTTTAGAGCCCTCATGGTCCCTATTTTTGTTAAAGTTATTAAAGAGAAATTTTTGTCAGCCATTGCGGTTGTAAATCAAAGTTTCGAAAAGGAATTGCAGAAATATACACTTATCAACAAAGTAACAGTACACAACAGAAATCCCTCAAATACAAGTGATACAAATGATTTGGAATCTTATTCGCCTCCCGAAACTCTTTTGGATTTCCATCCCTTGGCCGCTTTATGTAATGGTTACTTGAATGCTCTCAATGATTTGCGTTTATGTGCACCCACTGCTTTGGCAAATGATGTGACCAATAGTTTACAACAATCTCTGGAAATGGTAGCCAAACGCATTTTGGCCTTCTATCGCCAGGAACAACAAGCTTTCACAGCCAATGAAAGAGATACGTTTACCAAATTGTGTGCATGTTTTGCCTATGATTTAATACCCTATTTGCAGCGTTGTATACATGCCATATTTCCGCCAAATGTCTTAAGCAGTCATTTGGGTGTAAATTTAAATGCTTTGGAAAACACGAAAATAACTTATTTACAGCAAAAAGATATTTTGGAGCCCTTAAAGCATTTATTACCCAACAAAGTTGAGACATTTATGAAATCGGACACACCAAAGGCAGTAGAAACCAATGTGGCTGTGACAGCCGAAGGTTAAAAATCAATATTTTATCAATAGTATAACAGTATAAGGTAATAAATAAACGATACTTATTTTTAATAAGGAATAATAATATTTTTAGCAAAAATAATGTTATTATTTTAAAACTAATTTTTTCATTAATTATATCAGAGCGATATTGGAGTAATTGTAAAACTGATCTACAGATTTAGCTGAAGATTCTGCTAAGTTGACAACTTAAATGCCTAATTTGAGTAAAAATGTTTGTTCCTATTCATTTTTACAATTAATCACCTTTTATATCAAATCCTAAAATTATACTATACAAATGAAAAAGAAAAATAGTGTTTTTAACCGAAATTCAATTTCTCTAATTTTCATGACTATAAAATTTTATGAAATGTTTATATTTTAGTTTTGTATAATAGAAACTAACTTCGTTTTCATGTTACCCTGTTGGTATGGAGAAAACTAACGTTCTCTGAAATTTACCATTTTTCAAAAGTTTTGCCCTGAACTCAATATTTGGTGAGCTGACTAAAAGGTTAAAAAGGTTTTTCTTCAAAGCTTTAATTTTTTTATATTATATGTAATAGAGTGATAAATATCATATGAAGGTTTATGTAAACAAGGTTTCTTTATCCCCAACTGCTGGAGCTAGACCTTTGTTCCTTCTTTTGTCATAGAAGTAGAGTTGTTGGGGATTTTGTCGGTGATATTTTTGAATTTCTTGAAAAAAAGACTAACAGTCATCGGCGTAAGATGTAATTTGGATACCGTCCGAGGTGTTGGGACTTTAGACATATATAAATTAAACAAGATCCCCGAAAGAACTTAACTTGGGGAACTCATTGCTTAAGAGATTGTGGAAAATGACTGTTGTTGTAACAATTCGCCTGTGACCGAGAGTTCTTTCCTGAAATTAGAATAATAAACTGCACCAACCGGCTCTTAATTGTGCCAAGATGGTTCTCGAATGCGATAGAAGAGGGGTGTTCATTTAGGACTCTATTTCATTTGTATCCATTAATGGCTTCAGTGACCGCCATTGGATGCAATATTTCCCGGCCGCTTGCAATTGACAGTCTGTCGACGTCCGATGGTGATTATGGTCTTGGATGTCGCTTCAAAAGCGTCGCAAGTCCATACGGATGTGCCCGGAAGGGGGAACCTCCAACAGAATCTGATAGATGGCGTGACTAGGCACTATGTGACAGCTGCACACATATGTATATCAACCGAAACGAAACATATGTAATACACTAGCCATCTTTTGGTATTGTCGGAGAGATCGAATGTGAAAATATCTCTGAAGAGAGTGGCATGATTGACCGTATCAAAAGCATTTCATAGGTAGAATGTAGATGTTGTAATTCCAGGTGGAGTAGTGCTTTAAGTGTCTTGGCAATGGGTGATAAGAGGAAGATTGGTCTGTATGATATACCTACAGCCAATTTGCAGACTTCGGATATTATCAGGGTTGATATCGACAAGTTGAGGACTTCTGTGAGGTACTCAACTGCAGGTTCATCCAATTTTTTTTTACATCAACATCGATATACCATCTGGGCCATTAACTTTCAAAAATTGAGCAACTTTGATGACCTTCATAACCTCGATCGTTGTAAAAACATATGGACTGTCATTGACTAGAAGATCTTCCTTACTAACGATACTTCACCTTGTCTCTATCGGTGCTCTATAAATTGACGAGCAAAGTAATTTGAGCAGCGTTTGGGGTTGGCTATGGTGTTTTCGTTGAAGGATATCACGGAACCATAGTTTGCTGTCTCCGGAGATAGGGTTACATGTTTGTAAGTGATTTTCCCGCTTATAATCATTGACCAACTTGATGTACTCTGGCATCACTGGTGCTGGTTCTTCGGATTTCATCTCCCTCATCTGCTAATTCTACCACTGGTGATGGGAAATTTGTTTTTAATAGCAAATTTCTGCCATCAGGTATGGTACGAGCGGCAGCAGGGAGGACGTTCCCTCGACAATCAGTTCTTCGCAGCGTAACGATTCAAAGTTCAACGTACAACGATAATTGTCAACCCAGACACTCCAATTTTACACTTGTGATATCGTTAATTTAAGTTTTTACTGTAAAATAAAGGCAATACACATTTTTTACTATTTTACTACGGAAATTTACTATTCAAATAAAATTTTTACCAAGAATATTTTTTCACAATTTTTCTCATATTTTTTATTAAACCCATTGACAACCCCAACTTAAATCGAATACTAAAGGTACTGATTTCTTTAATTATTGATGTTGTATAACAAAATCGACACCCATGTCTTTTGGTTTTAAATAAAATAAGTTAAATATAACACATTCACCCCTGTGAATTGAAAATTTTTCTCAAAAGTAATTAAACAATTGACCGCTTGGATCATTACAAATCCCAACCACCCTTTTTAAAGTTTTGAAAATAAAATCACCTTGAATAACAGCCACAGTTTCTAAAGTTTATTTAATTAGTTTTCATTACAGAATTATAAAAATGCTAAAAATTATCGACTTGTAAATATTTTATAGCTCAAGTTTATGTGTTTTGTTGCAGTATTATATTGATGTACAGCTCCTGACATTTGTCTAATGTATCCACGATATATTTACTTATCTGTCTATTATCCTTTGTTACTTTGGTATTGTCATTTTATAAATATGTATCGATATACATATACTCCCTTCACCTCCCTTCTCTGCTGTACTTGTGTATATGATGTTTTTAAAAACTCTGCTCATTTATTTGATTTTTGTACCATTGTTCTTGTTGCTAATTTATCGGTATAATTGCCAAATGACCAAATGGGGAGTTTTATTACACCAGCTGCAAAAATGATGACCAAAGCATTGAGGAAATTTTTGTATTTTAACATCTAACACTGAAACACCTACCCACCCCCCAATTTTCGCTGGATGCTTTTCTAGAAATAGCTAGAGAAAAAATGTTTCCAAGAAAAATACACACTGAATAGCAGAATTATTGACTGTATTCGATTTTGTTTTTTCCATCCTTTCTGTGGACTCTTCTAATTTCTATTTGTGTGTGGTTGTTTTGGATTCATGTGGCTAATTTTTCGTTTTTAATTGTAATTCATAAATTACATTATTTACTTTTTCGTGCATTAGAATGAAGATGGGAGTTAGAAGTATGTATGTACATAAGGGATAAATAATGTTAGTTTCTTCAGTGCCCCGGCATGGAACTGTTGCTATTCTATCATTTGGCTTGCCAATTACTCTACCAAAAATAATTACATTTTCCTATACTACTTAGTGGGAATAATTCGACAAAATGGAAATAAATCTGTAATTTTTTAAGCGATATTCCAAGTTTGAATTTAGTACTACATACTTACTTTGTTTCTGGAGTTAACTATATGTATGTTTCTCCAGCGGGTTAGTTGGCAATGTTCTAGTCTGTCAATCTTGAGGTCGTGAGTTCGTTTTCCATCAGAGATTTTTTATATATTACATCGTTACTGACGTACTGGATTAACTCATGATTAATGGAGCTACATTAAAGAATATAGAAGACTAAGGGAAAACTGAACTTGTAATATTCTGAATAAGATATAAGATTCTTCCTTTTCCGCTACCACGAGTGAATGGGGTTAACTTAAATCTCTCGGACAATGCAAAATATTTAGATTCTTAACATTCGTGGAATCTGAATAAATAAAGCTAGATCTTCTAAGGAAGTTATCGCTATCTTTGCATGCAACATTATCGGTCATGCATTTATTTTGGGAAATGAAGTAAATGGAGCGCTCGAAATCTATTTTGATGGATTCAAATCTTTAACGGATGAGGGAGGCAGATTTCACATTCCCTGCTATGACAAAACGGTGAGCTTTAGGCTACACGATAAATGTAGCAACTAACAAGCTGAGGTCTCAGCCATAAAAAGAGCGCTAAGCTTGTTGAGTTACTACATGATATATAACATGAATATCATAACCTGTGCTGCTTCAGATTTCTATGAGGTGTCAATTCAGGGTATCGGGCAACTATATAGCGGGCAAGCTAGCGGAAACCGACGAGTTATTATTCAACATTTTCCTTTTTTCGATCCCGTTAAAAGGTTGTATACCAAGGAATACATCCATTCGGAGTCCCAAAAGTCCATTGTGATTCCCTTTAATAAAGAGCAAGGAAAAATAAAGAAATACAGAATAATAAGAGAAAGATGAAAAGAGTGAGACTTAGACATTAGATCAGTGTATAGTCTAGTCTATAGAATGGTCCATATACCACCAGTCCAAAGACTAATTCAGTGAGTCGTCCCTAATCTAGTTAATAGGCAAGACCATAGAAAAGCGATCGCATAAAGAAGTACTCTCTTTGGTAAATGGTATTACTGCTTGTTGTTGTAATCTCTTCCTGGATTCTATACAATATGAGAGAATATAAACAAGAATTTTATATGTCCCCTTCCGAAGTTTAGTAAAAGTTTGAACGTTGTTTTAAAAGTACAATTTTAAATTATTATTTCAATAAGAGAATATATTTAAAATTGTACAGAAAGGGACATCGAATTGTACCAAAAAAAGTACAATTGTACCAATTTTGCCAACCCTACTGTATGATATAACGGATTTATATAGTATTGAAATCAATAACAGAGAATCGCTTGTACATCGGGATGGTTTGATTTCGTGCTAAACATAGAAATGTAATATTCTGGAGGTAGGTCGAGATTAGATCCAGGCCGACTTATAGGTCATTTACCCAAGTAAGTCTACTAATATGAGAAGGGTTATTCTTATGTCGTACTTGCCAAAATATGATATGATTCCCGACTTGCAAATATTTTTGAAGTTTTCACCAAATAAAATTTTTGCCAAAGACTGAAATAAATCTTTAATTTCTAAACCGTTAACACGATTTTTATACCCTTCACCTTCGTGAGAAGGGTATGTCATTCCGTTTGTAATTTTCTGAATCCTTATAGATAGCGGAGTCGATTAAGCCATGTCCGTCTGTCCGTCTGTCTGTATGTTGAAATCTTCAATAATTCTATCAGACTTGCTTTCGAGAAGTTTCCTATTTAAAATCAGCAAAATCCGTCCATAAACAACGGAGATATAAGCAAAAATCCGAGACAACCT